AATAAAGATGCACAAGCTGCCTTCGATAGTTTAAAAAAAAGATTTACAACTGCACCTATTCTACAGCTACCTAATCCAACATTCTTGTATGTCCTAGAAGTCGATGCATCAGATTCAGCTATCAGAGCAGTTCTTTCTCAGCAAAAGACTCCTCAAGATCCACTTCATCCAGTCGCATTCTTTTCAAGATCCCTGAGCTCTGCTGAAAAAATTATCCTATTGGTGAAAAGGAATTATTAAGTGTTAAAGCTGCCTTTGAAAATTGGCGCCATCTATTAGAAGATACAAAACAACCTATCATAGTCTATACAGACCATAAAAATCTTGAATATCTTTATACTAATAAAACCCTTACGGCTAGACAAGTTAGATGGAACCTATTTTTTAACCGGTTTAACTTCCAATTAATATACAGACCTGGAACTAGAAATAAAAAGGCTGACGCTCTTTCTCGAATTCCTTCTAAAACTTCTATTGATGTTTATCCTCCTAACAAAATAATAGGGATCCTCTCTTCTCTTCAGGATGACTTAAGGAACTTGAATCAAAAGGTTCTTGAACTTCCCAAAACACCTAATTTAACAAAAAAGGATGGTATATTTTACTTTAAAAATAGAATTTATATTCCTCCCATTCTTAGGAACAAATTACTCAAAATGGTTCATGATTCACCCCTAGCTGGACATCCTGGAATAAAGAAAACTCTTGAACTAACTTCACGATATTATTGGTGGCCTCGCCAAGATAGAACCATTGAATTATATGTCAAAACTTGTCCTATCTGTCAAAGGTCCAAATCTGAACATAATCAACCTTTTGGATTACTACTTAACTTACCTATTACAGAAAAACCTTGGCAATCCATTTCTATGGATTTTCTTGTTGACCTTCCTCCATCCCGACAGTTCACCACTATTATTGTTGTTGTGGACCGCTTCACTAAAATGTCCCATTTCATCTCTTTAAAAAAATTACCCTCCTCCGTAGAATTGTCCAAAGTCTTTATTGATAATATTGTAAAGCTTCATGGTCTTCCAGAAGAAATTATTTCTGATAGGGGGACACAATTTACCTCCAAATTCTGGAAAGAGATGTGTCTCTCTCTTCAAATTCAACGCAAACTCTCTTCTGCCTATCATCCCCAAACTAATGGGCAAACAGAGAGAGTTAATCAATGTTTGGAACAATATCTCCGATGTTATTGTTCATACCTGCAAGATGACTGGACCACTTGGTTACCTATGGCTGAATTTTCTTACAATAATACCATTCATTCTAGTACGAAAATGACTCCTTTTTTCTCCAACTATGGTTTTCATCCGTCCTCATTTCCCATCCCATCTAATTCTTCATCCAATCCCACGGTTACTTCAAAAAATGAATTTATGTCTTCTCTATTCCTTAAATTACGGGAGAATCTTCAACTCGCCCAAAACTACCAGAAAAAGTTTTTTGACCATAATAGAAGAATTCCCCCTCCTTATAAAGTGGGGGATCTTGTCTGGCTCTCTTCAAAAAATATTACCACAAACCGTCCTTCAAAGAAATTGAGCTCTCTTTTTCTTGGTCCTTTTCAAATAACTACAATCATCAATGATAACGTTGTTAAATTAAAACTTCCTCCAAGTTTTAAACTTCATCCAGTATTCCATGTCTCTTTGCTTAAACCACACATCCCTGATCCTTTCCATAGAGAAATAGTAACAACTCCTGAACCTATCATCATCCAAGGTGAAGAAGAATATGAAATTCATAAGATTTTGGATTCTCGTATCCACCGTGGCTCTTTACAATACCTTATCAGATGGAAAGGTTATGGAGTTGATGAAGATACCTGGGAAGATTCATCTAATGTTCATGCAAAGAGATTAGTTGATGCTTTTCACAAACGCTACCCCTCTAAACCGAAATAAGTGCACCCAGAGGATGCCCCATGAGAAGGGGGTACTGTCAGGTATACCTAACATTCATGCTGCCGCCGGAACCCACTTCCGGGTTCACGGCGCTTAGCTCCGCCCCTTTTTTCTGACGCGGTCTTTCCACGATACTTAGGAAGACCGCGCCAGATTCAAAGTGCTGGATTATTCACTCAGGTGCGGCAGTGAGATCAGCTGCTCTACTCGATGCTACCGGCTCCACTTCTCAGACCTCGGCTTGTAAACGGATTTCTACCTTCTCATCTCTCAGACCTCGGCTTATAAACGGAATTCTACCTTCTCCTCTCCCAGACCTCGGCTTGTAAACGGATTTCTACCTTCTCCTCTCTCAGACCTCGGCTTGGACAAACGGACTTCCTTTCTCTCACTACTAAACTGCAGTTTGTTAAAAGAGACTCCTTCCTCTTCCTCCATTGGGTGAATTAACCCTTCCAGTGCCAGAGTGCTTCTAAGTTAAGTAAATCTTTTGTCAAGGAAAGCAAGTCATATCAATTAATTATAGTATTTAATTTCTTTAAACTCTCTGTTGACAAATAAGGATTGCTGCTAAGGCTAAAACTTCATTATTAAAATTCAAGTTGGAACTAACTTGGCATTTTCCTGATTATTATTTAAAGATACAGTCCACTGATTTCACTCCAATATAATAGGAGGTGAAACTTACTGTTCCTGCCATCAGAAAATTCTGCAGTTGAGTTCCAATTAAAGAGGTATTACACAAAAGCATCACACTGGGTCTCTCCAGTGTGAGCAGGGATTTAATCATGCTCACACAAAGTTTTAACATGGAGGGATTTAATTCCCCATTTTAAGAGCTCTAAGTGAGCGTTGCACACTACTCATCGGTCAGCTTGGACCACTAATTCTGAAATAAGGTTCCCCTTACACCTGCAGAGAAACAGACCCTGCTGATAAAATACTGCATGATAAAATTATTCCATCATGGGTCTTTAAGGGAAGAACATTCCGTCATAGGTCATTGAAGGGTAACAGGCAGTGTAAGTGCCCCAATCAACATATGCATGTAGGCAGGTGCCTACACTGCCTAGTGGGAAATCTGGTTCTGATGGAGGTGACCAGGTAATGAGACGAAATTATTTCAGTTTGGCAAATGACGCCCCATAAAACCTACCAAAGGGGTCAAACTCAGTATGTGCAGTGTTTCGTTGTGAAAGACTAAACACACAGGCCCTAGGCACCATGATTACTTCAAAACACTGATGGTCATGGTATTTGGAATAAACCTTTAAGACAGATGGGGAACAAGAAAGGGAAAACTGAAAGAAAACGAACCATGACAATGCTGCTTTAATCCCAGATATTCAACCTCTGATGATCCATTACGAAGCTCTCCATAAGCGTGCTCCTGCTTACATCTCCTATCTCATTAGCAACTATGCTCCAGCTCAGCTGACGACCTGTTACTCTCTCGCCTACAGAATTCTCCAGGGCTGCCCCCTCTTTCTGGAATCTCCTCCTGCAGGACATCTGACTCTCCCCATCTCTGCAGTCCTTCACAAAATCCCTAAAATCATACTGCTTTAACCCCTTAAGGACACATGACATGTGTGACATGTCATGATTCCCTTTTATTCCAGAAGTTTGGTCCTTAAGGGGTTAAAGAAGCCTATCAGCTATCCCCTTAACTCCTTGTCCTCTACAACCTTCCTCTGCCGTCTTCCACCTACTGTGCACTCCCCTCCCATCGTTGAGTACATTCAGATCACTCAATTGCCTCAGCTCCCTTTGTGTATGTATCCCTCATCCTAATAGACTGTAAGCTTCTCTGGGCACGCCCCTCTTCACCTACTATTCCTGTATGTCATATGAGTTTTGTTAGAACATGTCTGTCTTGTTTTCTATTGTACAGAGCTGCTAAATATGTTGGCACTACATAAATAATTATTGTTGCAATGATACAATATGCCCGGTTCACCACCATAAAACGTGATCCTTTACAATAAGCATGTCAAACTCACGGCCTGCGGCCCACAATGGACATCTTTGCAAGCTGTGAATACATGCTTGGTGTTAAAGCAGAGTAGGCACCTGCTTTCCCCAGATTGCAGGTGCCTACTCTGGTAAAACCTACCTGGCCGGGGAGGAGGGCCAGCAAGGGAGCTCAGTGTTCCTGCTCCTCACTGGTCCCAAGGGAGAGGCGCCACACCGGCTCCCAAAGGTAGGGAGCAATAAAGAAAATGATGTGTGTGCAAGAATGTGTAAATGTGTGTGTGTCTGTCAGTGTGTCTTTGAGTGAGTGTGTCTGTCTGTGTCTGTCAGTGAATGTGTGTGTCTGTCTGTGAGTGTGTCTGTCAGTGAGTGTGTGTCTGTCAGTAAGTGTGTGTGTCTGTGTCAGTGAGTGTGCGTGTTGGTCAGTGTTGCTTTAGCTGAGACTGGACAGTGAAGTACCTGGAGGTGCATGGAGGCATGCAACAGCACATCACATTCTGACGTGCTCCACCTTCACAGGGTTTCAAGAAGTAGCAGGAGGATCAGATTTGGAACAGGGTGCGGACGGCGCCATTTGGGGTATACCAGATGCCAGACTGGGACTGGGATTTAGTAGAGGGGGGAATGGGATTTAGTATATGTGGGGGGTGGGACTGGGATTTAGTAGATGGGGGTGCTATGGTTTAGTAGAGTGGGGATGCTTGGGTTTTTTGAATACTGTACTTTTCAAATAAACCTACTTTTCTATGAAAATTTAAGGTTGGGTTTTTTGTTTTTTTGCGGTCCACATAACCTTTAACCTTGTTTATGTGGCCAGTGCTAGACTTTGAGTTTGACATGCTTGGTTTACAATGTTACCCAATGCTACCCTAGAAGTCAGGACAATACACAGGTCCACTAAATGATGTCCTAAATCGGTAAGGCAGTCCCAGCATGTCTGAGTGCTCTTATACCCAGGAAATGCCCACACTCTCTCCATGAATGTCTGCACAGTCTCTCAGTGCTATTTCCAGCCATGAATAAAGGGTGTAGGGAACTGCAGATATAATCACGGCAGACATTTAGTTTTTACACACTTGCCATAACTGCTTACCTTGACCTGTTTCACCAGCCCATTGCAATGCAGATACAGGCACTGAGGAGCCCTCCCAGCTAACTCACGTGTTTCCCGCCTTTCCGCTCAGAGAGGATGCTGGGAGTGTTCTTTCCTCCCTAGGCTCCGCCCACCTCTGCCGTCAGTCGAAGTCACCGCAGTTCCAAATCCGTTATGGTGACGTCATGAGCGTGCTGCTGCCCAATATGGCGGACTTCGATACTATCTACGAGTTGGACGAAGAAGAGGACGATGATAGTGAGGAGCAGGACTCGGGGCGCGGCCGGGTAGTGGACGATGAGTACTTACTGAGATACGCTCCGGACCCGGTGGTGGTTCGGGGAGCCGGCCATATTACCGTGTAAGAAAGGAGGGGGGAGCTGGGAAAGGCCTCACCTACAACCCCTGACTGACTGGCACTCGTACTGACTGACTGCCACTCATACTCTGCAAGCCCTGACTGCCACTCGTACTGACTGACTGCCACTCGTACTGACTGACTGCCACTCGTACTGACTGCCACTCGTACTGACTGACTGCCACTCATACTCTGCAAGTCCTGACTGCCACTCGTACTGACTGACTGCCACTCGTACTGACTGACTGACTGACACTCGTACTGACTGACACTCATACTCTGCAAGCCCTGACTGACACTCATGCTGACTGACTGCCACTCGTACTCTGCAAGCCCTGACTGCCACTCGTACTGACTGACTGACTGACACTCATACTCTGCAAGCCCTGACTGACACTCATACTGACTGACTGACACTCATACTGACTGACTGACACTCATACTGACTGACTGACACTCATACTGACTGACTGACACTCATACTGACTGACTGACACTCATACTGACTGACTGACACTCATACTGACTGACTGACACTCATACTGACTGACTGACCTACTTCTCATACTGACTGACTGACACTCATACTGACTGACTGACACTCATACTGACTGACTGACACTCATACTGACTGACTGACACTCATACTGACTGACTGACTGACACTGATACTGACTGACTGACTGACTGACTGACTGACACTGATACTGACTGACACTGATACTGACTGACTGACACTGATACTGACTGACTGACACTGATACTGACTGACTGACACTGATACTGACTGACTGACACTGATACTGACTGACTGACACTGATACTGACTGACTGACACTGATACTGACTGACACTCATACTGACTGACTGACACTCATACTGACTGACTGACACTCATACTGACTGACTGACACTCATACTCTGCAAGCCCTGACTGACACTCATACTGACTGACTGACACTCATACTCTGCAAGCCCTGACTGACACTCATACTGACTGACTGACACTCATACTGACTGACTGACACTCATACTGACTGACTGACACTCATACTGACTGACTGACACTCATACTGACTGACTGACACTCATACTGACTGACTGACACTCATACTGACTGACTGACACTCATACTGACTGACTGACACTGATACTGACTGACTGACACTGATACTGACACTGACACTGACCGACTGACACTGATACTGACCGACTGACACTCATACTCTGCAAGCCCTGACTGACACTCAGACTGACTGACTGACACTCAGACTGACTGACTGACACTCAGACTGACTGACTGACACTCAGACTCTGCAAGCCCTGACTGACACTCAGACTCTGCAAGCCCTGACTGACACTCAGACTCTGCAAGCCCTGACTGACACTCAGCCTCATGCACACAGCCCGTCTTACAGCTTTATTTCATGTTTCACAGGGTTGCCTTTGAGAGCTATGTACAGATACTGCTTGTATTCCTTGCCATAACTCACAGCTTTGCTATCTTTGCTTCATGTTTCTGGCGGAGAGTGATGTGTGTTGTGTAAATAATTACAAATGTTACATATATGCTTCTCCAGTCTGTCACATAATGTCATTGAGACCCTACAGTTGTACTAGGACTACAGATCCTGTGATGCTTAAAGGGACACCATAGGCACCCAGAACACTTCAGCTCATGGAAGTGGACTGGGTGCAATGTCCCTGCCCCCCCCTTAATCCTGCAATGTAAAAGTTTATATTGCAGTACTAAAACAGCCTCTAGAGGCACTCCCAGGAGTTTCTAGATTAAATGACACTGGACGTCTTCACACTCTGCATAAGGATATTTAGCATCAATGAAATCTCTATAGCAAAGTATTGAGTCAATTCTTTCTTATGGGGAGGATTTGTGTACATCTGTACGAACTCTGACAAGGTATATACATTTTGTACTCCCAACTGTGTGTCTATTGGGTGTATTTTGGTATTTATTTAGTGTGCCAATATTATAGCCTTTACAGGCTTATTCACTAAAATGACAGCAGTGTAGATTTCAAATTTAAGACCAAATAGCCAAGCTGAAACCTCAAGTGACTTGGAGATTATGTCTAATCAAACTATTTAGGCATAAATTTGGGATCTTCGTTTGAATAACAGCATTTCTCAATTTAGTAAATAACATTGTAAATGTCTGAAATGTTCAAGGTATTTATGATAACCTTTTTAAGATGTCTGGTTTGTGATAACCTTAAAAATGTATATATTTTATTATTATTATTATTATTATTTTTTTTTAAGTTTACACTAGGAAGTGCCTCTAGTGGTAGTCTGATACCCAACTGGTGTGTTCTCAAATGTAAACATGGCCGCTTGTTAGAAACAGCAGTATTTTATATTGTCAAAGGACATCATCTGTGCACCTATCACTATAAGTATCTATTGTGGATGACACACAAAGGTATCAGTGGTTCCTACTTTCTCTTGGGTATGTGTTTCTCTAGCATTGGGTCACTGTGACTCGTTCTCTGACAGGCTACTAGACAGAGCTTTTCTTTTTGGTAGCTCCTGTTGGCAAATGCAAAAAGGCAATTGTAGACGCTTCCATGTATAAAGAGGCAGAATTTTCAGATCAATAAAATTATGGGAAATCAGTTTTACTAAATTCGGGAATTGGGCATAGGGTTCTTGAGTGGAGGCAAAACAGATTTTTTTTTTTTTTTCCAAAAGAGCTAGACTTTTTGCAGGAAAGATAGCAAATTAAAAATATTATAACTAAGTTTGAAATACTGTAAATGCTTAGATATCGAATGGTCTAACTCCACCTCCAGCTGCATCTTTAGCCAGCTTGGAATGAGGGTTCCAGGTTGGCTAATGCCAATTCTGCATATTCCATGCACACTTATTTGTTGGCTGAGAGTGCTAAATTGACAGCTGAATGAGCAGGGGTATCGGAATCTGGCTTTAGCAGCTCTGCTAAAGCTGATGGATGTTAAGCTGGCTTTGAGGGACACTTGGTGCCCTGCGGGCCCAAGCTAAAAGCACACTGCTGCAAAATGTTTCCTCCCCCCGCCCCTCCTTTTTTGGGGGGGGGGGGGGGGAGGGGGTATGGCGCCAAGCTACTCCTTGCTTCTTTTCCATCACAGTGGCCTGCAGTGGTAATGTTGCTTGGAGTTATCCTTTAACCCTTTAAGGCATGACATGTCATGATTCCCTTTTATTCCAGAAGTTTGGTCCTTAAGGGGTTAAAGCGGCCCACCACCCTTAAAAATTTGCATTTATACTCCAAATTAGTGTTGGAATTTCATCGATATTCCAACACAGTCAAAAAAAATCGTAAGACAAAATAGGAACTAGCTCCTGCTGTCAAGCCTTCAGTAGTGGCGACTAAGGGGTAAAGGGCATTGTTTATGGGATCCTCCAAAGACATCAGTGTTGTACTCGTGTGCATGTGCCAGAGCTCGCTGTCAATGCCCGCCCTCTTCTACCGCAACCCTCCTAAGCCAAAAGTTTGTATGCAAACACAATATATAGAGATAGATATATTTATATATCTATCTCTCTAAATATAGTTTGTATACATACACATTGTAAATAAATATTGTTAAAGACACAGACAAACACACTCTATTTCTATCTATTTCTATGTACACCCGCTCCGTCTCACTCGCTCTAGTTTTAAAATAAGATTACTTACTGTTTGAAGTCAGTAGATTCTCCTGCCTTCAGCCTGTCAGCCTGAGCCCACGCTGTGTGCAGGAGATCCTTATCTCCCACACTGTCGCTCAGGGTTACCACAGGACACATGAGGCAATCTCACAGTGCCTCCTGTGTCCTGATAGCACGTTTGATGTCTTCAGCCAAGCGTGAAGACATCAAACGTAATGAATGCGAATTAGGCAGCAGTTTACTCGGAAGTCCCATTACTCTGAATGACTGCCACTCGAGGTGTTCCTAGTTTCCAAGGTAAACACTACATTTTCTCAGAAAATGGGGTTTACCTGAAAAGGGCTGCAGGGAGCTATTGTACTCATCTGAACAACCCCATTAAGCTAAAGTTGTTCAGGTGACTATAGTGTCCCTTTAAGCAATGTTTCCATTTCTCCTCTTTGTTTGTTTGTAACATTTGTTCTGGCTTTGCCTTGTCAGATTTGGATTATAATATGCTAAACCTTTGATATTAAAGTGGCTCTGAAAACTTGCCTTTCTCCTATTGTTACTCTTCCTTTTCTCTTTCCCAATCTGTACTTATCTTTATTCTGTTCTATTTCTCTTGAAAACACAGGACAAATTGGAGGACTAATTAGAGGACTAAAAGGGTGGAGCTTAACCATGCTCAACTTCCTTTGTCACAGAAAATTCTAACACAATGTCCCGCGAGATCTTTGTGCGTAATTTCTACTGATAGTAGACTTGGTCTATTTGTCCATTTGTCCGAAAGATGAATGAGCAAATACAAATTACAACAAATTCCTCGTTGGATGAAATTTTCATGCAATTAGTTAATTTATTTTAGTTACAAGGAGGGAGCTACCAGCTCGCATCTCCCTCCTTGTAATATTTAGTAATAGCGATTGGGGAGCTTTGCTCCCTGCCACTGATGCTCCCCTCACCCTATGCCGGTCAATATGACCCCCATATTCGTATACATATTATACGGAGGTTAAAAACGATGTGCTGCGAGTAGGAACATTTCTACTAAGCAGAAAAGTCAACGTTCCCCTTTAAATAATCAAACATAGAGTTGGATTATGAATCTGACACCAAGAGGCCCAAACAGTGGTAATTTTAGATAAGTCCCATCTGTGAGGCTTTTATCTGTCCTGAATGCCTGGAGCAGGTAAAAAAAAATTGGCGGTAGAACCAGTTGCTAAAGCAATGGCTACGTTTGGTCAGAGAGCCAGTGGCTTTATTTTCCATGTATAGTGTGTTTTTTTTTATTAACCTGTTTTGAAGCAAGATTTTGCTTCTTTAATTCTATTCATTTTATTCTGTAATTTTTCTTTATATGACTGAATTACTAATTTTCCTTTAAAATGAAACATTTTTTGAAGCTCATTTTAATGCCATGTTGATTTAGATCATGGGTCGTCAACCTGGTCCCTACTGCCCACTAGTGGGCGTTTCAGGATTCCAGGTGGGCGGTAGGGTTTTCGGCGGCACAACAAGCTATTGCTAAATTCTCCTTTTTAGAGAGTGGGCGGGCGGGCGCGAGTAGGCAAACACACAGGAAAGTACGAACTCATGCAAACACGAGAATGCGTGCACGCGAACAAGAGAATGCATGCGTGCGCGAACGTGTCAACGCGAGTGTAACATGTGGGAAGAGGAAGGGGAGGAGTGTGAGCTGATGCACGATAGCAGGGTACAGGCAGACATGCAGCAGTGCAGTTGTAAAATAGGAGAAAGAAAATAGGCAGGACAAGGAGAGAATTGTTGTTGGCTAATAATAAGCCGGCTAACTAGCTCAACCTTACTTTTGTATATTGCCATAAGGAAGGTAAAAGAAAAGCATTAAAAAAAAGAGATAAAAAGGAGAACAAAAAAATAAAAAGGGGGGGAGGAAAGAAAAATAGAAAAAAGGGGATAAAATAAAGGAGGAGAGGACTTGTAAAAAGGGAGAAAGAAGGAGCAGATTACTTGTAGAATCGGAGAAAGAAGGGGCGCAGAGTACTTGTAGAATAGAAGGGGCAGAGTATTTGTGGAAAAAAAAGAAAGAAAGAAGGAATATAAAAAGGAAAAGGTGAGAATTGTTGTTGGCTAATAATAGTAAGTGGGCTACCTAGCTCATCCTTCCTGCTGGGCATTGCTATAAGGATGGTAAAAAAAATCGAAAAAAGGGGGTGGGGGGGAATTGAGGAGGGGAGCTGATGCACAGATGAGAAATCATATTATGAGCAAACAGAGAAGTTGTCTGAATATCACTAAAAGAGGAGACCATTGTTTGTTCCTTACGAAAATCGAACCAGATATCAAATAATTAGTCTCGCAGCATCAACCTCAACGATCTCATTAATCACTAGTTAAAGGTAATTACAATTTACTTTTACTCATTAAACTTACAAAGTTAAAAACATTAGAAACATGCATAAAGTAGAAATAAAAAGATTAATGTACGTACAATTTTTTTTATTATTATTTATTTATTTTACAACACCCTCCTTTCTAAAAAATATTCTGCATTTGTGTGAAAACTGGTGGGTGGTAAGGGAATTTTTCCATCAAGAAAGATGTATTAGTTGGCAGTAGGTAGAAAAAGGTTGACTACCCCTGATTTAGATGAATGTCTCTTAAGTGACCAACCTGCCTTTAACATATTATTTTGCTGTTAGCATAGGAAAGTTTGGCTTCTAAAATAGAATAGTTTTGCAAATATGATGCCTACTTGGAGCTGACTATGTTCTCTTTTCTCTTCATAGATTTGGCTTGAGCAACAAATTTGATGCTGAATTCCCCTCCGTTTTAACAGGAAAGGTAAGCCTTTTTCAAAGTAACCTTCAATTGGCATGTTTTGAGTACATGTGTGCTGTCCTAAAATAATGCACTATTTACATGTTGAGATGTTAAACTTTGTTTTGTTTTTTTCCTTCTTCAATAAATGGTCATGCTGTTTAGTCTGACCATATAATTTTAATGATGCCGGTAATTCAATTTTTTGTACATCTATATTAGAGGTCTTTCTACCTTGTCCCCAACTTAAACAACATAAAGGTACTCTAGAGATGCAGTCATCTTAGTGAAGCATGATTCTAACTAGGATACCTCTTCAGTATTTTTAATTTGTTACTGCAATCCAATCTACCCAGTTCAGGAAGCATTTGGCATAAATATATTTATATGTTAAGTGCTTATTAAATATCATGGCCAGTTATTTAAAGTGAAAATGAAAACCATGGACCTAATTTAGTGTATAAATATAGATTCGTTTTTTGCTCTTCAACATGTTGTTGGAGTTTTTTTTCTTATTGCATGGCATTTGTCACAATTAAGTTGCTTGTCTTTTAATTTGTGTAATGTCTCTGTTTAGCAGCTGTTGGGGGAGAGGTATGTATTCATTGTATTTTTATTTTGGTGTATATAGAAAATGTTTGTACCCTATGTTTTGCTGTTCATCTGTGACGTTAATACTGCTTAATTAGAAAACTAACCATTTCTGATAAACTTAAGTTTGTCAGAATGTCTTTCTGAATGATCCGTTGTTGTTAATTTTTTCTGTAAAGGGCTTTAAGGGCTTGTGCTTTATTTGAATCTAAATCAAGAAATATATCACTTGGACATTGTGTTTACATTGTCTAGATTTGCATCATGTTGACTTTTGTCAGAAATGGTTACTCTGATTGCATTTATCACAAAGTGTAGGCTACCAAATCCAACTATATTTATAAATGAAAAAATAAGCTTAATTTAAACAACTGAATTTATTCCTATTTAATAAGATTTTGAACAATACAAATGGTGGATCTATCTTGCAGAATGTTTTTATATCATAAGGTCCACTTAGGTAAGTGGCACTCTTGGTTATGGTGCAAGAAAGTTGCACAAAATATATTAAATTCTGATAATACATGCCTTATCAAATATGTTAACATTTAACATTTCAAATACAAAAAGGAAGCAAAAGTAGATAACAAATATTATTTAACTTTTTTGTGACTTGTCCTTTATGTATGACATTTGCCTAATAAGTAAAATTTTGTTATCTTAATCATTGGTATTCGTTTATACTTCTCCACTCTGAAAATAGGACCAAAGAAAAGCGAAAACTATGGTCAAAGCATCTAATGATTCACTTTATATAGAGGGACACTCTTAAGTACCAAAACTGTTAATGCGGCACTGTCACCATCTGGGGACTTTGCAGAAGTTTTAAAGACCCTGGATGGTGAGCTCTACTTATCTCAATCTGTCATTCGTGGGCACAGCAAATTCGGGTCCAAAAGTAGTCCATACTTTGTCTTGTGTTTTTAGTTACAAATGGATGGGAAAAAACAAAGACCGAGTATGAAAGAGGAAGCGATTGGGGAAAAGAAAAGTATAGCGTGACAGAGCCACTTTAATGAAGCAGTTTTTGTGTGTAGATCATGCCCCTGCAGTCTCAGTAATCTGCCATTTAATTTTGTTAAATTAATCATGTTTCTGTATATGCAGTCTTTGCGTTTTTGTTTTTATTCTTTAGTCAGATTTTACACCACAGTGTCTTTACTTTAGAAGTTTTTTATCGCTTGCTCTAGTAATTGAACATTAATCATACACATGAGGCTCTAGCGTACAACAGAGCAGGAGATAAGAAATTCTAATTTAAGCAGACTGAATAAGACACATAAAAAAGGAAAATAGGTCTCGCCACAATAAACTGTAACGTAATATAAACTGCAGTAATGTACTTGCATATATCAGAGCAAAATTTACAATAGTCCTGATATAAAATGGACAGGTAGAGAACCAGGTAGACTTGCAGAAGCTTGAGTTTGATGTGGGTCTGTATAGGTTGTGGATCTTGAAATGGTCAAGTTTTCTTGGTTCAGATTAGAAAATGTGAACACAGAAAGAAAAACTCCAATAGTGTAAACTGCAACTGACAATAAACCGGAAAATGGAAAATTTCACAGCAGGGTGGTATTTACACTTCCCTATTGGAGAGCTAGAACTAGCTCAGGTATAACTGGCATTCAGTGGCGTCGATCCCTCACTGGTAGGATATAGTCATTTATTTCATTTTTTATTTAACCTGTTCATCCACTACATTGGAGCATTTACCCGCCCAAGAATCCTAGGTGGGGTTTGTACCACCCACGCTATTACAGTGAGCAGTATATTCCTGCTCACTCAAATGTGAGTACTTTACTTTTCTATATTAACCTGCCTTATAAGAAATACAGTGGGCACTATATTTGGTTTTATTTCTTCCCAATACCGAGGACCTCTTCCGCCTACCAACACCCATATCCTACCAGTGGGGGATCGACGCCACTGAATGCAAGTTATACCTAAGCTAGTTCTAGCTCTCCAATAGGTGAGTGTAAATACCACCCTGCTGTGAAGTTTTCTTTTTCCGGTTTATTGTCAGTTGCAGTTTGCACTATTGGAGTTCTTCTTTCTGTGTTCACATATTCTAACCTGAGCCAAGAAAACTCAACCATGTTAAGATCCACAACCTACACAGACCCACATCAAACACAAGCTCCTGCAAGTCTACCTGGTTCTCTACCTGCCCATTTTATATCAGGACTATTGTGAATATTGCTCTGTTTAATATATGTAAGTAATTTACTGCAGTTTATATTACGTTAGTTTATTGTGGCGCGACCTATTTTCCTTTTTTTTTTTTTTTTTTTTTTTTTTTTTTTTTGAGGGTTTGTGAGGGAACCTCATATTCATAGGTTGCAGCCCTACACTTATCTTAGCTTCAGGTTGATCATATAAGCGCTGATTCAACTTCTATCTGTTTGAATTAGACACATGCCTACCTTTTAGTATATGACCAGACCATGTACATGCACCCTGGGTAGGACCGTGTTTGAAAACCTCTTTATAGTCTCTATGGTCTTTCCTGCTTTCTCTGCACAGAGTAACACCAGAACAACTGTCTAAACCAAAGTATATGTAAATGGCTTGGATCCTGTCCTATACTAAAGGTAGGAATTGTTTTTCTCCTTTCCTTTTTATATATTCATTTAACAAATCAATTTCCTTTCAAAATTTAATGAAAGGATTTGTTAATTTAAAAGATAGTGATGAGGTGACCGTTCCCTTTAACTCCCAAATGGCAGAGAATTGAGCAATGAGACTGCGCAGGGGAATGATGTATACACCAAAACAACTTAATTTAGATAAGTTGTTTTGGTGCTTAGTGTACCTTTATGCAGTTCACTGTGTCAGCAAATGCGTAGGTTAAATTAAAGGACCACTATAGTGCCAGGAAAACAAACTTGTTTTCCTGGCACTATAGGGTATTTGGGTCCTCCCCACCCTCAGGGTCCCCCTCCCGCTGGGCTCTAGGAGGGGGAAGGGGAAATCTCCTCCTTCTTCCGACATCGCTTAATGCGCATGCGTGGCAAAGAGCCTACAGTGGTCCTTTTTAAGGCTGTGTATGACAGCATAGGCACTAATGTTCCTATTTCAATGGGTAACAAAGACACACACATGCAATGCAACCACAATGAGGGTTGGGCTCATTTTAAAGAGATTTTAACAGAAGTAAATGAGCCTCCCTTGTTGTCTTTCACTATGCAATTGGCATGCATCTATAATGCCTGTTGTATGTGAGATTTTAATTAAAATGCTCCCCAACTCACATTGTTATGGAGGTATATATGATCAGTAGTTTCTCACATTTGTTATGGAGGTACAGGTGATACTCGAAAAATTTAAATATTGTGCAAAAGTTCATTTATTTCAGTAATGCAACGTAAAAGGGGAAGCTAATATAAGAGACTCATTACATGCAAAGCAAGATAGTTAAAGCTGTGATTTGTCATAAGAGCGATAATTATGGCTTATAGCTCATGAAAACCCCAAATCCACAATCTCATTAAATTAGAATATTGTGAAAAGATGCAATATTCTAGGCTCACAGTGTCCCACTCTAATCAGCTAAGTAAGCCATAACACTTGCAAAAGGTTTCTGAGCCTTTAAATGGTCTTTCAGTCCGGTTCAGTAGGAATCACAATCATGGGGAAGACTGCTGACCTGACAGTTGTGCAGGAAACAATCATTGACACCCTCCATAAGGAGGGAAAGCCTCAAAAGGTAATTGCGAAGGAAGTTGGATATTCCCAAAGTGCTGTATCAAAGCACATTAATAGAAAGTTTTGTGAAAGAAAAAGGTGCACAAACAGCAGGGATGACCGCAGCCTGGAGAGGATTGTCATGAAAAGGCCATTCAAAAGTGTTGGGGACTTTCACAAGGAGTGGACTGAGCCTGGAGTCAGTGCATCAAGAGCCACCACACACAGACGCATCCTGGACATGGGCTTCAGATGTCGTATTCCTCTTGTCAAGCCACTCCTAAACAACAAACAACGTCAGAAGCGTCTTACCTGGGCTAAAGAAAAACAGACCTGGTCTGTTGCTCAGTGGTCCAAAGTCCTCTTTTCTGATGAGAGCAACTTTTGCATCTCATTTGGAAACCAAGGACCCAGAGTCTGGAGGAACAATGGAGAGGCACACACTGCAAGATAAGAAAAAATTGTAAATAAAAATTTAATAAAATATCCAGGAGTTGTTTGTAGCTGTGGACTAATATTTTTGCAATGTAGTTTGCCAAAGAGAAAAAACTATTCAATAAAATGAAGCAGTAACATCCAATATTTTCTTTCTCTAAGAAGGATCTCTGATGAAGTGAGAGAAGTCTCACGAAACGCAATAGGACGACATTCAGAACGACACTGCATTGCTTTCCGGCATCTACCGAAATACTGCCGACTTCTATCTGGAACGCAGAAAGGAAACCTGGTGAAACGCACGCGGCTCGAATACCACCGATCCATTCATTCAAGTGACGATTGGATAGTCTATTCACTTTCTTCAGCTGCTTACTTCATCCTCCTGCTTCAAATCCAGCATATATTTGATACAATGTGAGTGTATCGTTTACCCTTTTTTAAAGCTTATTCTACAATAAATATTTTTATTCAGCACTTGGATTTTATAACTTTATTTCCTCTCACTAGGAGTAAAGTGTTACTACAACTGAAGGCTACTTAATATAGCCTGTCAGTTATTTAATGTGTATTCTTTTGGTACAAGATACAATATTTAAAATATAAGGACCATGTATATTGTTATATTGTATTATACAAAATAACTAATTCAGTATCTAGATACCAGTTCATCTATAACTGGAGTGAACTGAATTAGCTTACAAATATAGGATCTTAAAAGACTGTCATTTTTATTTTATTTCATTTTATTTAATTTATTTTTTAATCAAAAGACTGTCAAGCATTGGACTTTATAAATTTAAGTTTCCTTCTCAGAGAAAGAAAATATTGGATGTTACTGCTTCATTTTATTGAATAGTTTTTTCTCTTTGGCAAACTACATTGCAAAAATATTAGTCCACAGCTACAAACAACTCCTGGATATTTTATTAAATTTTTATTTAAAAATGTTTCTTATGCTTGCACTATTAGAGATTTGTTAGTGGAGTCTCTATTTTTTTCAGTTGAGCAGTTTTTAGCTTTGCCACAATTTATTCTCTAGATAGAGGTTTCTTTTTAAGGAATCTCAACTATTAACCCTTTAGTTACAACACACTGCAAGATGCTTGAAGTCCAGTGTGAAGTTTCCACAGTCTGTGTTGCTTTGGGGAGCCATGTCATCTGGTCCACTGTGCTTCATTAAGTCCAGGGTCAACGCAGTCGTCTACCAGGAGATTTTGGAGCACTTAATGCTTCCTTCTGCAGATGAGCTTTATGTGGATGCTGACTTCATTTTCCAGCAGGACTCGGCACCTGCCCACACTGCCAAAAGCACCAAAGCCTGGTTCAAAGACCGTGGGATTACTGTGCTTGATTGGCCAGCAAACTCGCCTGACCTGAACCCCATAGAGAATCTATGGGGCATTGCCAACAGAAAGATAAGACATGAGACCGAATAATGCTGAAGGCCGCTATTGAAGCATCCTGGTCTTCCAGAACACCTCAGCAGTGCCACAGACTGAGGCAGTAATTACTGCAAAAGGGGCCCAAACGAAGTACTGAGTCCATATGCATGCTTATACTTTTTAGAGGTCCGATATTGTTCTATGTGCATTCCTTGTTTTATTGATTTCATGTAATATTCTAATTTACTGAGATTGTAGATTTGGGGTTTTCATGAGCTGTAAGTCATAATCATCGCACATATGACAAATCACGGCTTGAACTATCTTGCTTTGCATGTAATCTTATCTTATCTTAATCTCATATATTAGTTCCCCTTTTACGTTGCATTACTGAAATAAATTAACTTTTGCACGATATTCTAATTTTTCGAGTATCACCTGTATATATGATCAGTAGTTTCTCCCATTGTTATGGAGGTGTGTGTATGTGTGTGTATATGTATGTATATGTATGTATGTGTGTATATATATATATATATATATATATGTGTATATGTGTGTGTATATGTATATGTATATATATATATATATATATATGATCAGTAGTTTCTCACATTGTTATGGAGGTATATATGAGATCATATATACCTGTATATATGATCAGTAGTTTCTCCCATTGTTATGGAGGTGTATATGAGATCAGTAGTTTCTCCCATTGTTATGGCGGTGTATATGATCAGCAATTTCTGGAATATTGACTGCTACTAATTTGTTGCAGTTTTCCTCTTGGGTAAGTTTGTGTTTGTGTGTTTTTTAGGGATGATGAGGGGGATTTCCATGCTCTTCTACTTATATTCCTTCTTGCATCTTTGCTGTGCCAATTAGGGCCAGTGACATCATCAGTAATGGGAAATAGTAAAATGAAATCCAAATTGCAGAAAGACAAGCACTCTCAAAGAGGATTCTGATAAGAAGTCTGCTTTTAAATTCCTATAACAGTCTGTGTTTTAAGCTGTCTATTTTGTAGTGTTAAGCTGTAGAAATTGCTTGGCTTTCTTTTAATTTTGCTTTCTAACAATTCTGGTTTTGAGACTAGTGTGTGTATTTTGTTTTTTGTTTTTTGGAAAGTGGTTTAGTCACAACTACAAACCAAAGTGAAAAGGTTACCTGATGATATATAGTCCTACAGCAGTATCTTGCTCCAGGTGACAGAAAAATGACTAGCTAGACATTAAGGGATGACCACTGTGTTTCCTGCCAAATGCCTTAAACAGTCAATTATCCTATGCACAGTTAAGGGCTGTGAGCCATAAAATGTGCCCTTGGTATTGTCAACTGAGTAGAGCATTGATTGATTGGCTCAGCACATTGAAGAATTTTGAGTAGGCCAGATCCAGCCTGCTGGGCTTTGCTTAGTTTTACTGTTTACCTCCCTTTTTGCATCCTGTCGTAAAATATTATGACCCCTGTTTTAACAATGTTTGAAAGGAGAAGAGGTGAAGAATAAATGCCCAGAGGAAATAATGTCTTTACAATTTGGAGAAGTACAACCAGAAGCAGAGCTCTTATCTTTTCTTTTGAAGAATGAGAAAAACAATGTGAAAGGAACTTGGCAAACAAATCCCAATTCAGTCCAACTAGAAAAACTCTGGAATAACTTTCTCTCTTTGTGATGTTTACCCGTTTCACAACTTGCGGGTGTATCTGAAGGGGAGGAGAGGTTCTTCAATAATTGGTTGTGTTTCCAAATTTAGTCTGTACAATCTCGCTATTAGAAGCCATTTTGCATAACAAATACAATTGTGCTAGCCAGATTTCTACATGTTTTGTGGCATAATGGCCTTTATGGAATCCAGACTTGCCAGAACTGCATCCTGGAAGCTCTAGCCATTATTTTGTGTTTATTACCTACAAAAATATTGTAGCATTGTACAATACTGAAATGAAACATACACATTTTTGTGGCAGGGAACAAGAGATGTGGAGAAAGCAAGAGTTGATTATGACGGCATGTCCTACTAGTGACTGCAAATGCACACGTCTTGTTGGTTCCACAATTTAATTGGAACACTGCATTCTAGTACACCAATAAGTGGCTTATCGAACCTGTTACTTGCAATAACCTGTAATGGAAACTGCACTAATGCAACACAATCATCACGGAAAAATTAGCCTGTGCTGATATTAACTTTAAAAAAGACTATAGCTTGAGACACCCTAAATGGTTGATTCACTAGTTGTTCTCCTCCCCTCAAGAACAATTTGATAAATATGCCATATATCGTAGCTCAGATGTACCTTGATCTTCTCCTTGTTTCAGTCACTACAAATTACTCTATAGTCAGACCTTGAGGGTCAGGCTAAGTTTAGCTGAACACACATCATCATTTTGGGGAGATTTTAACTCTTCAGAGGAAACTTATGACCACTTGCCGACCAAGGTAGCAGTTATAAAAAAAACGGCCCACTGAAACACATGAGATTTTGGAGTAGATGGGATAACCATAGATAGACATAGCGCTGATAGAGACAATTTCCAAATTTAAACAAAGAATTTGTCCTCCTACCTTTATTCTACTGTATCACAACAATTAATTGCCTGGAAAATGAAGACTGACTCCTATGCCAAACTCTCCCTATTTTCAGTCATAATCTTACTTGATTCTTATTGTTGCAAATGGGAGGACCAAGAAACTCTTACTGATGGGGAAACAGACTAAAGATGTCCCTACTCTAGATCTTTCTAATGATAGACTTGTTTATAAGTCTAGCGTTATATGACTTACACAGCTGATTTAATATACTATGCAGCAGTCTGTATAGCATTGGGTTCCTTAATCTACAACTGTACTTTAAAGGTTAAATTTTTTTTCCTCTTTTGTTCTAATGTTGGGTATAATTCTTTAGTTTTACATACAGACTCCTATCACCATGACTTCTTCTAAAAGCAGAAGTGCTCATGGTGATTGCATTAACTCTTTAAAGACTGCAGTGGTCTCTCACCATTTTTTTGATCTTTTGTAATGCACACCGAAAAAGACTTAATGAAAGAGGGAAAACAATCTGGGTACTGTAAAGGTAGTTTTATTCTTGTAGGCTTCCCATTAAGTAATGTTCCACAATCCCTGATCCTTCTCCAACATATATCCATGACTGACTATTTTTAATTGATTGCGGTCAGACCCCATACAATTGAGTTGGTAGCAAGAAAGCAGAAAGCGTAATCATGGATTTTTACTTCTTTTTCTTCGTGTCTACCTATTTCCTTCTGCACTTTCTTAGATTGTTCATATCAAGTTGTATTGAGTGTCACGTATTTGCTTTTGGATATAGCAAGTAATGTAATTTCCTGAATGTTTATTCTATTTTTCCGTGGAAGAAATGTATTGTATACAAAAAAGCAATTCTGTAAGATCTGCGGCATGATCTTTTCAAAGTTTTCGCTTACGTTATGGTCTGCTGCATGAGAAATGTTTTATTAACTATTTTAATCTTGAATTTATTTTTGGAAGGTTGCACCAGAAGAGTTTAAAATCAGCATTGGACGTGTGAATGGTTGTTTGAAGAAGAATCTCCCGCACAATGTAAAGTGGCTGCTTTGTGGTTGTATCTGCTGCTGTTGTACTCTAGGCTGTAGTTTGTGGCCAGTCATATGCTTAAACAAAAGGGTAAGTGCTGATTGTATACTTTCATCGCAATTTATTTACAATTCTGCTGTTATTCCACCACTGTCAAAGCTAACGAACAAGAACATGGAAATACCAGTAAATTTATATTCAAATCTATCATCGTTGTCAGTATGTTATTACTTTAACTTGTAATTTTGTTTACGGCAAAGTGAAATGTGTAGACTTGAAAATTAATTTAAAACAATTTGTCCTTCCATTTAGTTTTAAAGGAACACTATAGGGTCAGGAAAACAAACTTGTATTCCTGACCCTATTGTGTTTAAAAACGCCCTCTAGCCCCCCTGTAATCCCCCCTTGCCTCTCTAAATATAGTAAAATCTTACTTGTATTTAAGTCTGCAGCTGCTGGCTCTGCCTGCCGACTTCATCAGAAGTGGTGGTCTGAGCCAATCACAATGCTTTCCTTTAAGATTGGCTCAGACTGTCATAGAGACAGATCAGGGGCAGAGCCACCACAAGTCAAACACAGCCCTGACCAACCCGCATCTTCTCATAGGGATAAATTGTAATTAATGCCTCTCTATGAGGAAAGTTCAGTGTCTGCATACAGAGGGTTGGTGGAGACACTGAATGGCAGTGCTGCACACTAGGCAGGACTGCCCCAGGAAGCACCTCTAGCAGCCATCTGAGAAGTGGCCAGTGGAGTTATCACTAGGCTATAATGTAAAGATTGCATTTTCTCTGAAAAGACAGTGTTTACAGCAAAAAGCCTGAAGGTTATGATTCTACTCACCAGAACAAATACAATAAGCTGTAGTTTTTCTGGTCACTCTCTTTTTTTGCGGTTTTAATTCTGTGTTGTCAACAGATCCGATCAATCAATGTTATCCAGGTTGGTTTAAATTGACACTGATAACGCAGAACTAACATGGCTGCATTAGCAGTGCAACTGAGATGTTGATTGTCCCTTGGTGCTTCGTTTGTATCAAACCAGGAGATGATGCCAGGACACTATAGGCAACCTAGCCACTACTGTAGGCAGCTCAAGCGCTGAACTACAGCACCCATGATTCTCTGGCAATCTGTTGCATTTTTGAGAGTGAGAAACAATACACAATATACAGTGCCCTTTTTTATATTGCTGTTAGAATCTCTGTCACCCTCTACAATGCAAATGTAATTCTAGTAGGGAAATGATAGAGTTCATACAGGCTGGTAATCATCCCTAGAGTATAAATGAGTGAGGCTTAAAGGACCACTCTAGGCACCCAGACCACTTCAGCTTAATGAAGTGGTCTGGGTGCCAGGTCCAGCTAGGATTAACCCATTTTTTCATAAACATAGCAGTTTCAGAGAAACTGCTATGTTTGTGAATGGGTTAAGCCTTCCCCTATTTCCTCTAGTGGCTGTCACATTGACAGCCGCTAGAGGCGCTTGCGTGCTTCTCACTGTGATTTTCAGTGAGAACACGCCAGCATCCATAGGAAAGCATTGTGAATGCTTTCTTATGTGACCGGGTGAATGCGCGCGCAGCTCTTGCCGCGCGTGCGCATTCAGCCGCATGGGAGGAGAAGAGGAGGATCGGAGGATCAGAGGAGGAGAGCTCTCCACCCAGCGCTGGAAAAAGGTAAATGTTTTAACCCCTTTCCCCTTTCCAGAGCCGGGCGGGAGGGGGACCCTGAGGGTGGGGGCACCCTCAGGGCACTATAGTGCCAGGAAAATGTGTATGTTTTCCTGGCACTATAGTGGTCCTTTAATGGACTAAATTCTGTCCTTCAATTTATATTAACTTGTGGGAGTGAACATAGGCGTGCGCAGCCTATTGCATTAGGGTGTGCACCCTAAAGCACAAACACACACGCCGTGTATATATGTGTGTGTATATATATATATATATATACATACATACACATACTGCTCTGTGTGTGTGTGTGAGGGTGCTGTTAGTGCGTGTGTGTGTCTGTGCTGCCATGCCTGAACTCTGGTGGTCCTAGTGAGTGAACTCTAGCCTGCAGGGCTAGAGTTCACTCTCACAAGATCTGAGCGTGGCCGTGGCAACACTCCGACCTCGCGAGAGGAACCCAGCGGAACTGCTGGCTAGAGCTCCCCGGGTCCTCTCCTGCATGTGGGCCGGTGAACAGGGCTGGACTGGGACAAAAAGTCAGCCCAGGCAGCCCACTAGGAAGGGTGGGCCAGAAATGTGGCACGTTATATCGCCACTATTGACACTATTGTTATGTTAGTGTGATACCCCACCAGAGCATTCAGTGCTGTCTGATGGAGAAAAAGTCCTAGTGACTTGTCTCTGGTGTCCCCATTAGTGGAAAAGGATTGTTAACATGTGTTTTGCACGTGTGGGAATGCTCCCTGCAGTGTTATATGTGTTTGGATCTTTTTTATGTGATTGCATGTGTGTAAAGGAGATCGGTTATGCTGTAGAGTGTAAAGGGGTCTGTTTGTGGTGTATAATATGTAGCTGGGGCCTGTAGTGTATAGGTGTGTTTTTGGGCTGTATATTGTATGTGTGTGTGTGTGTGTGTGTCTGTTTATAGGGTCTTTAGAGTGTGTGTGCCTAGTGGTGTGTTGCGTTTGCATGTAAGGACTGTATTTCGTGTATCTAGGAGTTGCAGGGGGTGGCATTGTGTGTATGCGTATAGGTGTTGGGCACGTGTGTATTGGTGTGGTAATAATAGGGGGTGTAGTGTGTGTTTAGGGGAGTTGTGTGTGCATAGGGGTACAGTGGGTGCACAGGAGGTGTATATCGGCATAGTATGAATGCAGTGGTGAGGTGTTTATAGGGGTATAGAGTGTGTAGTGCTTTTGTGTGTGTGCGTATGCAGAGTAATACGTGTGTTTATAGGGAGTATAGAGTTTGCGTAGTGATTGAGTGCAGTGTATAGGGGGTATAGAGTGTGTGAGTGCAGAAGGTGTAGTGTGTATATAGGGGGTATAGTGTGTAGTGTGTATATAGTGTGTGTAGGTGCAGGGGGTGTAGTGTTATGTATAGGGGGTATAGAGTGTAGTAGCAGGGGGTGTAGTGTTATGTATAGGGGTATAATGTGTAGGTGCAGGGGGTGTAGTGTTATGTATAGGGTATAGTGTGTAGGGTGTATATAGTGTGTTTAGGTGCAGGGGGTGTAGTGTTATGTATAGGGTATAGTGTGTAGGGTGTATATAGTGTGTTTAGGTGCAGGGGGTGTAGTGTTATGTATAGGGGTATAGTGTATAGTGTGTGTAGGTGCAGAGGTGTAGTGTTATGTATGGGGGTATAGTGTGTATATAGTGTGTAGGTGCATAGGTGTAGTGTTATGTATGGGGGTATAGTGTGTATATAGTGTGTAGGTGCAGGGGGTGTAGTGTTATGTATAGGGGTATAGTGTGTAGGTGCAGGAGGTGTAGTGTTATGTATAGGGGTATAGTGTGTAGTGTGTATATAGTGTGTGTAGGTGCAGGGGTGTAGTGTTATGTATAGGGGTATAGTGTGTAGGGGGTGTATATAAGGTGTATAGTGTGTGTAGGTGCAGTGTGTATATAGGGTGTAGTGAGTAAGTGGTGGGGTATAGTTTATGTATATATTTTGAGTGTTTCATTATTTAAATAAAATAAAAATAAAAAAACTTACTCCCCTTTCCCTTTGTTACCTTATTACCTTTGCAGGGGGGGAGAGGGAGCACGCTGCTGATCATCCCTGGTGATCCAGTGGGCTAGTGATGTGGTCTGTACCTCCTCAGGGTACAGACCATGCCTTTCTCTCGCGAGAGCTGGAGTTTCAGAGCGTTGCCGCTGGTTACCACGGCAACGCTCTGAAAATATCAGCGATCGCGAGAGGGCTGCCCTGCGTGCAGCCTGGAGGCTGTTTGCTCCGTATCCAGCTCTTCAGAGCCTCTCTCGCCGGCAATCTGTTGTGCTTGAGCCGGCAGGGGAGATATTTTGATCTTCCCTGCCGGCCTCGATCCATGCGTGGCGCACGGGGATTAGGGTGTGCCCAGGCACACCCCGTGCGCACGCCTATGGGAGTGAAGGAGTTAATTGTTGCCTGATGACCCCTCTCAGATCATGGCATACAACTCCTATGCAAATTCAAATGTAATGACTTTGTTGCGGGTTATTGGGTTTTTTTGGGGGGGGGGGTTTCAGGCAGATATTTAATGGAAATGTTTTCAAACTAAACTGTTTTAATCTTAAAAATACATGCCAAGAGTGACTCTAAGAAACAATGTTTTACTGTCAAACACCACATTCACTTATTCCAGCAATATTGTTGTGTGACACACCAGAGCTCTTATTTAATGTTATATTCACTGATCCCTAATAGGCTTATGGAATTTTTTTTATTTTTAAAATGGCAGAGTTGTAATGAACATGATGCGTTCCTTTTGGATAACAGGGGTGGATCACATTAAAAGGGTTCTTTGTGTATAGATTTTGTCATTCACTCTCATACTTCCCTAGACAAGAAGATCCATCCATAAATTGTTGGAATGGGAAAATAACAGATTATATCATAAGGTAAGCAGAGCAGATCCATGTTTGTGTAACGCAGTGATTTTAATGTGTACACTGTCTATTAACAATGCCACAATTAATGTATTCCCAGCTTGGCTTGCACTGGAAGTTGAGCAGAAGGAAATGCGAATCTAACAATATGATGGAATATGTAAGTATGACTCTTCTTCCCCCTCCCCCTAACCCAAACTTGTATTTTGTCTGTTTCTAACTTCTTTTAAAAAAAAAAAATACATTGGATAAGATTTTAGTTTTTTATTAAGTATTACTCAGAAATTAAGGTATTATATTTTGGAGTGAGCAGAACACTCTGTGACGAATATCTGGTCCTCACAATGCAGACTGTATATAAAATCTTTCTTAAACAATATAAAAATGAACTGTATATAGCAACCAAAGCATGTGGCAGAAAGACCAAATTAAGACCTGCTTTGCACCTTTCACACCCCATGTGGGTGCTAATAAATAATCAGCGAGCATAGTATATGCTGTAGATTTCTTAATGCAAGTTCATCTAGACAGATAACTGCACCACCAACAACAACAAATATACCACTTTATATTATAAATGTTAACACCCTGTATTGTTATACTATCTCGAGAGCCGATGCAAGGATTTTTTGTCTACAAAGGCAGTGATGCATTGCCAAAGATTGCTTTGAAGCTTCTTGATACTTATCCCCGCCACACCCAATATGAGTTTTATAGCTTTGGAATTCTGTGTTTTCCTCTGTTACATTCCATTTGTGGAGAATTTATTTATTTATTTATTTTTTTTTTGGTTTGGACTACAACTGTGATAAACCCTGACCTCTCCTCTGCATTAAAAGTCACAGCAATGTGTGTGTCCATGAAGAGGTTGAAGGACTGTGGGGCTAATTCATATATATCTATTTGAATTATGTTTATTCCCTCCTCCCCCTTGTTACTTTGGGCCAGGGAGGGGTGACATTGAAATCACTGATGGCGAGATAATCTGGTGTGTACCTCCACCAAATGGCAGACCTTAAATATTGCTGTTGTACGTTATGGCAGTCTGATAGTGCCTTGTAAGAGTAATCTATAAGGCCTGAATCTGGCAAAGATGCAGACCAGGTCGTCTCTGGACCCCTGTTCAATAGGCCATGAAGGGTCACACCACCATCCTCTGCGTAGGCCAACCTCTCTGCACTTTTAAAACATCTGACCAAGTGCGCCAATTTTCAGCCTCTGGCCAGGGCTTCCTTTAAGCGGAACTGTTGTTTTGGAGAGTCTATATTCCCTAAGACGCCCAAAATAAACCAGTCCAGTGGCTGCGAGATGCAGGGGAGCCAGCTGTCTTTCACATCTGCCGCCTTGTTAAAGCTGCAGGTCTCTGGCACTTCAGGTGCCAGGAGCCACATCAGTGCTGTACTCTTGTGCACGCGTGAGAGTACAACACTGAGGTCTGCCATTGAAAATCGTGAAGTTGACGGCTGTTGGGATTGGTCTAAATTTAACAGAGGAGTTCCTCCTTTAGCATAAGACAAAGTACTCCCTATTTTGTATAATACAACAAAGTCCGCACCCAGAGGATATGAGTTGGTAAAGTTCAAACTCATGTGCTACCTCCAGACTTCTACAACATAAATTACACGCATTTGACCCCTTCAGTTTAAAAAAATAGTAAGATGATTCTAAGCACCATGACCACTGAGTGCGCCAGCTGAGCCAATAAGCATATTGTAAGCATATTGCCATTCATTATAACGCGCTACAGAATTTGTTGGCGCTATATAAATGCCGATGATGATGATGATAATGGCTTGAGAGGAAATGCTAATAGGTTCCTGGAAGACCCATGTAAGTTGTTAAAATGTTCTCAGGCTTCTGGAGGACATGAGGGCAAGCCGCGCACCTTAACTACTACAGTGGTAATGGTGCTTGAAATACTTTTTAGTATTAAATATCACTGTGCACTTTAGCATTCAGTGAAGAAACATAGTTTCTATTTTATTCTCTCTATATTAGTACTGGCCAATAGCACGCAATATGATTTTCCAGATTTATCCATAGAAAATTGTACAATGTAATGCAATCAAATTTGGCATCATTGGTGTACTGACATCTTCCATATGTGCTACCATGTGTTATGTAGCTATTTAAACAATTGTACAACAATGCAAAAAAAATTATTTGGTAAACCCCAAAAAGATTGTATAGGAGTATTGCATCACACATGCAATAAATGCACATTAATCCAGGCGCGTACAACTGATGTCATGTTTTGCTACAACCTGCCCATCATCTCATAAATGATTTATCAGCACACATAGTAAGAACATCCAAATGTTTCATAGTGATAGGATCTTGGGTGAATTATAACATTTTACATTTGTGAAACAAAAAAAAATCATTATTGGTGACTGTTGCATATAAAGGATGTCCAACAGGTAGATGTCCATCTATCAAAGAACTACAATTCCTATAATGCATTGACTTAAAGTAGATCTGTCAATTTGATGGAAGTTTTACTTTGCCGCCGCCGCCATCTATACAATGCAGATCCTTTTCGGCTCCTAGCACTTCAGCTGCAAGAAACCAAGTCAGTGCTGTACACTTGTGCATCTGTGAGAGTACAAGACTGAAGTCTACGGAGGTGTCCTCAAGACCATTGGTTATGTCAGCCTCTGTCTTTACAATAATACACAGTAGTCCCTAGTTTTTTTCTAACAACTTTGGATTGTGTTGGGCTTTAATGAAATTCAAATGCAGTCATAGTTGGTGTTTCGTAAAGATTATATAGTCTATGAAATGACAAAAAGTGACATCCGCTGTAAGTTAGCTCCATCTCTGCTTACATGAACAACGATGGTTGTTTCACTACAGTAACACCCATCCTGTCACCCTGCTTTGCCCATGTATAAGACATTTGGACATGTTTGAGGACTTTCCCCAAGCACAGCAATCCTCCCTAATGACGCTGGCATTCGTGCCAGTGCCTCAGAATAGAATAAGATCAGTCACCTGCTTGGTTTGTTGCACTATACAAGAGGGCAATAGAATTGCATGTTGGAGATTTCTCTCCGTCACATCGTTGTCTGTATAGACTGCACCCTTTCAGCATAGAGGTGTATGCTGAGAATCTGTTGACAGATGGGGAAAGGACTTCTTGGTGATATAAAGAGTCTTGAAAGTATATCCCAAAAATAATGAAGTCGCCACAGCGTGTATGTAAAACTGAAAAAATCAGTGAGAAATGAAATCTGTTAAAAAAAAAAAATAAATAAAAAAAAATGGTACCTTTAACACATTACTAAAGTCTTTTCCTAGGCCAACCAGACATGAGGTGATCAATAGCTTAAGTGTTCTTGCATAGCAAGACCACTTAATGTTATCTCACATATATATTATTAAGTGTTCTTGCATAGCAAGACCACTTAATGTTATCTCACATATATATTAAGTGTTCTTGCATAGCAATAATTAAGTGTTCTTGCATAGCAATAACACTTATTGTTATCTCACATATATATTATTATTCTTATTCTTATTATAGCCAAATTTGCCACCCTAACTCCTCCCACAGTTTTTACACTACATAGACAAAAATTTACCAAAACGTGCAGATTGTTCCCGATCGGATTACTATTACTTTGTGGAACGTTTCGCCGAATGGTTCACGGAATATCGTCGTTCTTGTGGCGCAATTTGTCCCATAGGAATGAATGGCAAAGCTAGAGTGGGAGCTGGCAAAAGCTGAAAAATCAGGACATGATTTCTAAACTGCCACCACTCCCTTATTTTCAGGCACACCTACACAAATCTTATATCAAAACGTTCAGCTATCCCTGCTGCCACTAAACATGTCAACGGCTAAGCCATAGTCCTGATAGTTTTCACGATATAATCATTTGTTTGCAACTAACGCCGTCCATTGACATTCATTGAAACTTCACTCTGCAAAGCTCAAATTTGAAGTGCAGTTTCTAAACTGCGACTGTGCCTTCATTTTTAATACTTCAGAGACATACTATGCATCAAAATGTAGGTCTGGGTCTTGTGATTCTCACAATATAAAGCTCTTCACTGTAGGATTTATAGTTTTTAAAATACGACCGTTTGAAGGTGGCAACCGCCAAAATACTCTGACCTGTGCCAGGCTGCAGCAGCAAGTGATGTCATAGTGATGTCATAGACAGGGCCTTTTGAACACCTGCTAATGTTTTTATAAATGTATGGTTTAATGTAACTGTGCAACAACGTTGCAATTAAATGTGCTATATAAATGATGTTACTCCGCGCACTCCAGTTGTAGACTACTGGTGGAGGCAAGAACACTTCATACAATTTCCCCAGAAATTGTAGCTTTTCTAGTTAAAACCTGATGTCCTGGTAGAGCAAATTATCCCACTGACACAAAGGAATCCATATAATAAAAGGAATTTGAAAAGTATCTCTAACGAAAGAACCATCTTTTAACCTCTGAAGTAGGTACTGATTTGTTTGGGGGTTTTTTTTGTGGGGGGAGTGGCTAGTGGGCATTAACCCTGGAAGAGAGGAGCGTGGATGCGTAAGGCTCAGTATATTATACGTGTATAACTCAAGCTTGTTTGTAGTTGACCTCGTGTCAAACCCTGTGATCAGTTTGGTCTTAAATTTTGTATACCAAAGGATCCAAACCTAGAATGTAAATCAAGGCTGGTTCTGTTGTGTAGGAAAAATTATTTGGACAAAAAGATGGAATTAGATATTTTTACTATTGGGGTGGAATATAAATAGCTGTTAGTGCAGGACCCTGCTCTCCGACCAGTTTGTGTTATTTATGAGGGGACATGTATGTGTACCGTTGATCAAAGTGCAGGCTTGGCACTGTGTGAGATGCTGCTGGATTGCTACACTAAGCCTGCTGATGCACGTAGCTCTCCTCACTTGCTAGCGTCCACCAAGTTCAGTCAGGACACTACCCCGAAGTAGGCTCTGCTTCATCATATCCTATTCAGGAATTTGTTCTACTTTTTTGTTTTGTTTTTTCACGCTAGTATATTGTTGTGAACTTATTTTAGTTGATTTGTTGTATATTATAAAATTTAAGTAGATAACATGTTGGCAGTAATCTGCCCTCGAAGCAGCTTATTTCCATAAATTTCAACCCTGATATTGACTCCAACTGAGTTTGTATAAAAGCTGGCAGAAGTTGGATCATCAAGATTTATGTTGACTGCTGCTAAAATATGTGTACCGGAGCCTAGAAACGGACCCAGCAAGACGTGTGCTGCATGGGTTCCCGCGATCGACACCTAAAACGAGGCATAACACCCGAGCTAAGACCGTACCTGACCGCAGAGCACATCAAGCCTGTTCCCGACACACACCAGTGATGCTGGGGATCCTTCATGGGAATCTCTCCGCCACTGGAAAATCGTCCTTGAGGCTCTGCGGCCTACCAAAGACCGGGCGGGCCATGACGGGCGGAAAGATGCTCAAACACCCCCCGGGCCGGGGTCATCCCGGTCCCCACTGGTTAAAGAAGCAAACCCACGCTATACCAGACAGACCGACATCTGCCATATGGAGAATCCGAATGGGGCACTCAAGATGGCGGACGAGCTCCCAGAGCAGGGGCAAGCTGCGCACGGACTGGTGCTGCTACAGCCAAGCTCCACTGCCGACATGCTACAACGCATAGACTGGGCATTTGAAAGATTCTGGCAGCAACTTGAAGCTAGGATGATGCCCACACAGCTCAAGCCACATCGGAGACATCGCACCGATGGAGTCCTCAGATACCCTGACCTCCTCGCGAGGAAATTGAACCAGTCCAAGCCTGAAACCTACGTGCAGCAACAGACACCCAAGCGAGGTGAAAAGAACATAGAGGAAGCATCGGGACACCTACCGTACGCCACGAGACGCAGAAAACCCCCCGCGATATCGAACAGGGGCAGGGACTGCGAACATTGTGCCTCGTTGCAACCCAATGGACACTCCACAGGTGGGCATAGGTTAGCCACAAGCACAGACCAGGACATGGCCTTAGGCCTTCCCACAAGCTGGGCCGTAAAGTGGCAGCACTAAAACTAACTAAAGCTCCATAGCGCTATTTTGTTTGTTTTATTTTGCTTTCTTGTGTCTTCAGTTTGTTCTATATTTTCTTGAAACCCACAAGGCAGCAAAGCATTAGAGACGTAGACCAGTAGCATGAAACTTTTAATGTCAATCTTAACATGTTATCATATGTCTGTCTTAACATTGCCTAGCTACCGCCTAGCAAATAACATGCTCCAAGCAAAATTTTATGTGTATTTAACTATGAATCCACTCAGACCGTATACCTAGATTCAAGTCAAGCATGTTTAAAATTATAGTTATGCTGAAATTGTTGGAAATGTTATGTAACACTTAATTAATATAAAATGAGGCCGTCACTCATAGGAGATGTCGTATTGTGTTAGCATGTTCCCAGCCTGTATGAACCACGTACATCCCCCCCTTCTTTATTCTGTATCCCATTTAACAAATGCCTCAATAAAAGAAAGAATTAAAAAACGTGTGTGTACCGTCGAAATGGGCACAGTATTTGTCAACTAAAAAGGAGAGGTCTTTCTGAGGTTAAATGTAAGGTGGCTTGAGTGTCTCTGTTTGGAACTAGAGATGATGCACTTTGCCTTTAACTATACAGTATGTTTAATTATTCATTTTGAAGAAGCTTGTCCTTTATCTATGTTTTGGGAGTGCACTTTTCGGAATGCCTTTTGCTTTTGTCTGGATGAATTTAGGGAAACTCTACTGATTGTTTCTTAAAGGATCACTATAGCATTAGGAATAAAACCCTGTGCCCTACCTACAGACTTTGTTTTAGGTCTCTCCCCCCATTTTCAGTAAAACCTGATGAAAAGGTTTTTACTTACCTTTACTCCGGTGCAATACTTGCTTGGAGTTGCAGGCCGCTCTGCCTCCAACCATCTCATCTGGTTCTCCAGCTGATGGCCAGTCCAATGCTACATGTAGCATCCAAATGAATGAATTCAGTGCTTTCATATGAACTGCAACCTTTTGTGACCGTTTTATACTGTCAGTGCAGTGGTGGTGTGTTTGACTCTTCAATTTAAACATTGCACTTTCTTCAGAACTATAATGTTTTACATTGCAGGGTTAAAATAACAGGACCGTGTACCCAAACCACTTCATTGGGAAGTGGACTACTCTTGTCCCTGTATATTTCCTCCGCCTGACTTTCTTAGACTCTGGGCGGAGCTACAGTGTCAGTCCTGACAGCTGTCACCATTAACTGCTACCAGAATTGGCTGTCGTGGAGGACCTCAATAGACCTCAGTGCTGAACTCTCAATCATGTGCGAGAGTACAGTAGTGACGTCTGCTGCTGGCGCTGAAGTACCGGGATCTGAAGGGGAGCTACCAGAGGAAGATATTGGCACCTGCAAGGGACTGTTTCAGGTAAGTAAATATCACCTTTACTTGCCCCCCACCAGCTTTGTCACTGTCAGAGGTATTCGCGAATTTGGCAAAGTCACCAGACGGTGACAATGCCGCTTTAACCCTTTCAAATGTGTGAATGGCAAAACATCTGAACAGGTTGTGATAAATATCAGTTTCTTGGGTAATTCGATTTCCTAAGTGAAAGCAGTGTAATAGAGCTAAAGAAATGTTTTGGAATAACATGCATATTGCCCCTCAAAATCCTGTTAACCTTCTATTTGTTTCTATTAACAACTAAACATGATGTAATTCATTCTAACTATATCCTCTTTTCTTCTCAATGCACCAAAATAGACTACATTGGCCTATTTCATATTGTTAGATAAGCTTTCTAAATAATTTATTTATTATTTATGTATTATAGAAACATTTGAATTTTGTAATACTTTGATCTATTTATATATTTTGTTATATATGATCCTATTAAAATGTTGAAAAAGAGATCATTTGAAAAGCTTATCAAATAGTATTAAATCAAAGCCATTATTGGGGAGCCATTTTTGTGGAGAAACATGTTAAATCAGGGCCCCAAGAGCACCATATGTAACAGGGATGGAGAATGTTAAATTTCGTTATGATGCTTACCTGTACACGACTTTGTAATTTTGTGCATAACTTTTTCCACCTTAACAAGCCATAGTGTAATACTTCTAAACACTATTTTTCTTTTTCTATTTTGCAGGTCATTCTTATAGAATTCTTACCAAAATATCCAATTTTTCGACCAGATTGAAGAGGACCCACACAAGTTTTCTTTTTTCCTTTTTTCTTTAACCATCCATTCCTACCCTTAGTGCCTTGTAGACGGTAATAGAAAGGAAGGAATACTGTTACTGTGTTTTAAAAACACAAAGGGATCTTTTTTTGTACAGCATTATAGTACCCTAATAGCTCTTGTATTTTCTATAATGCGTAAAAAAATGAAATTTGCACATTTATTTTTTTATGTTAATGGAGGCTTCTATGTTGCACTCTTCATTTTAGACCTTTTATTGTCGGTCTGACACCCATACGTTAATATAGTTACAATGACAGATCAACATTAGTGCTGCTTTAAATTCTAGCTTATTGCCTTATTGTTCCTGCATTACCAGTTGTCCATCTCTTCAAACGTGGTTTTAATCCATTTCATTCTACCTCATGTCTGAGTAGTGCTCCAGTGTTAACAGTATGTTTTAAGTCTGATGGTTTGTACCTATTTCTCAAGTTGCTGTTTAGATTAACTCCCTGTCACCGTACAGAAGTTAATATAAATATATACACACACATTTTTATTTTTTTCTTTACAACTTGCCAAGTAGGCATCGATCTGTATTTAAACGATGTTTGTTTTGTGAGTGGGCACTATATAAAAAAAAAAATAGAACTGAAATGGATTATTTGTTAAACCAAATACAACCTGTAAATATTGCCTTTTGTTTTTCTCTTCAGAATTTAAAGTGTTATGATTGTTTACAGAATGTAATATAGCTGTTACTATTTTGCCAACAATTCTACATAAATGTAAATGTACTTCTTGAGCATTATTTGATTGTAGAAAAACAGGATTGTCTAACCTACAACCCACAAGCAGGGCAGGAATGCAATCCCTCCACAGGTGTTCTAATACTACTTTCTCCTAGTAGTATGGTTTCCAACACTGCTCATCCTGCCTCAAACACTAGAACTGGCTTGTCTACACTATTAATATCACTTAATATATGTTGCACCCTTGGCTCTCTGCATGGTTGGACTGACCTGTTGGTTGCATGTGGTCAGTAGGGGGTGGGTGGTTACTTGTGTCATGTGATATAAAGTCTTACATCTTGTAAAGACTGACAATGGCTGCTCTCCTTCTGATCCATCATAAATGATAGTATTTCCCTCATTTACCAATATTAAATAACCTCTGATATTTGGAGTATGGGGGTGAAAACAAAAAAATCTTTACAAGAGTGAAGTGCATTATGAGGTTTTAGACATGTGAACTTGCAGTCACATACCTTATTTTAACACTCACTGAAACAAACCCATCAACTTTATACAATCACATGATCACATCTCATGCAACATTATGAATGTCTTTGCCTGTTAGTTGGTTGTACCTTAATTAAACACTTAAGTTGGGAGACCCATAAGGTTGGGCTTTGATATCCCTAATGTTTTACACAAATGTAATACTTGCACAGAATTGTCTAAGTTGAACCAGGCACCCTCACATATTGGTTGCAATGTGTATCTAGGTTACAGTTAGTTATGTTGTGTGTATTTTGTTGCTGGTTTTTGTTTTTTACATCTATATCGAATAGTTTTTCTCCATGAGCCCACTTTTTCTGTCCTTTACTCCTGAATTGTAGCGTTCCACAGATAAATGTCATGCCTTGCATTACCATGCTTTGGTTGTAGTTTAGCTTTATACAGCAGACAAGATGACATTTTGACTATAATCCACAGAAGTCCTTGCTGTGCTCAAAAAGCATTGTTTACCGGTAAAGTTGATTAATGCTGTAGAAAGTAAGCTAAATGTTTTCTGGTGGGAGCCAGTAAATGCATGATCTTAAAAACCAGTTTTTCGCTCACCAGTGTCAAGATACATATGTAGATCACCCATTTTAGCAATGAGGTTACACATTATATGGTGTTATAATACCCAATTCCCATGTACAGCAGCCCATCTGATCAACATTTGTTTTCTCTTCTGCTATGCCCAACATAAGTGTGGTTGGTGGGGTTTTTTTTCCACCTCTACATGAGTGAACACTGCATTGCATATGTACCTTCACATTGAGTTAACACAATCCCACCATCAAATTACTACATTTAAATTATATGTATACATACATACTCATATCATTCTGAAAACTTGGTGGGTGTGAGAAATCCAATTCCAATGTTCTCATGCAAAAGGGTTGGGCAAACCTGGTATAAACCATTTAGCTTTGTTGAAAGCAAAGAAACCATATTTTTGAGTCGCTTTGCAGTGTGCTGCTGATCCCTCTGTCAGCAGAGATAAAGCCATAATTTTTGGGTGAATAATGGGGAGAACACTTAGAACCTGCAATTTCAGCAAATGCGTGTAAAAGAGCAGCAGCTGTTTTCTATGTTTGTGGGTTGTTTTTTTTTGTTTTGTTTAGTTAAACTTTAAAGTTTGCACTGAATACATTATTCTTTTTAACAAATGTACTTTTAAAACTAGCAGCATTTCAGTTTCTCTTATATCTTGGAGTAAACAAGACTGGTCATGTTTTAAGGGTCTGCAATTGTCATGGGGATGTAGTTGGCAAACTGCTTCTGTAATTCTGAAGTATTAGTTTTCTGCTGTTAATAAAACGTTATACACTACGCTACGACATGCACTTCCACTGTCAATAAACTTAGTTGTTTTTGTTTTTACACATTTGTGTTGGTTTTAAATGCAAATGCTTTGTAGCATGTGATACTGTTTTTTTTTGGGGGGTGGGTTAATCTGAGGATTTTACTACTGTCAGGTTCTAAAATGACGTGTGAAACAAGCAATTTGTACAACACTCTTGCTGGAAGCATTGAATTTATTCATTATTTCCATTATATACCAGAGATCCGATTGCTGACACAAATCTGTTCTTTGCAGATGTGTGCAAAGAACGTCAGGGCATATCCTGTTTCCAGGAGAACAGCGCTCTTACCATATACAGGTGCTACGTACGTCATATTGAAAGATTTGTATCGGACAACAAAATAATTTCCTCGATTACACTTAGGTTTAGGTAACATTCACCACCTTGCTTGACACCATTCTAGTACTTGCAGTGTAGGAAGGCTGATTCATGAGTGATTGTTAAATTAATTTCCATGGGTAATTACCAAAATATTTTATGGAACATTTTTGTTGAAACCTATGCCCATCTCTAGCGGCATGTTAGGTTATTTGGATAGTAATGAACATATTGATTAGGCTTACATCTGCAGGCCACAGTTACTGAAACTAGATAACTTTTAAAGGGACAACAGCAATCCCCCATTGATTTACAGTCAAAAATAAAACAAACTGTATTTTTTATTTTTTTTTGCCAAAATTATATAGAACTCTTCAAACTAAATTACCGAACAACCTCCTGTGGCCATTTTATGTGCAGCTTTCTTAATGTGGGTTTTTGTTTTGTAGTCCTTAAAGGACCACTATAGTGCCAGGAAAACATACTCGTTTTCCTGGCTCTATAGTGCCCTGAGGGTGCCCCCACCCTCAGGGACCCCCTCCCGCCCGGCTCTGGAAGGGGGAAAGGGGTAAAAACTTACCTTTTTCCTGCGCTGGGCGGGGAGCTCTCCTCCTTCTCTCCTCCTCCGTTCCTCCTCCTGGGCTGAATGCGCACGCGCGGCAAGAGCTGCGCGCGCATTCAGCCGGTCGCATAGGAAAGCATTTACAATGCTTTCCTATGGACGCTTGCGTGCTCTCACTGTGAAAATCACAGTGAGAAGCACGCAAGCGCCTCTAGTGGCTGTCAATGAGACGGCCACTAGAGGCTTTGGGGGAAGGCTTAACCCATTAATAAACATAGCAGTTTCTCTGAAACTGCTATGTTTATAAAAAAATGGGTTACCCCTAGCTGGACCTGGCACCCAGACCACTTCATTAAGCTGAAGTGGTCTGGGTGCCTAGAGTGGTCCTTTAAGTTACAGCTGCTATCAAAATAAATGGCTTTAGTCTGTTACATAAGTAGTACCCAGATAAACCACCCTTTCCCACTTCCAATAAGTGGTACTTTCCTTGAGTAATCATAGGATGCTGTTGGTCCTTACTCAATGCAAACTGTCTTAGCTTGTTCTTGACAGTTGGACATGACCCCTCCAGTTTATTCACTGCACCATTCGTATACCTTACACCATGCAACAGATTTATACTGAAATGGAGAGAAGATTAAAGGGATACTATAGTGCAAGGAATACAATTGCCTGCCCCTCGCTCCCACCCCAATACCTCCCCAGATAAAAATCCCTTTATTTACTTACCTGATCCCAGTGCCGATGCTCTGCCCCCCTCTGACGTCCTGCAATTAGCAAGCGTTAATGCGCACACACGGCAAGTGCCGCGCGTGCATTAGACCTCCCCAGAGGAAAGTATTGAGAGCGTTAGGACGCCCAGCATCAGATACCAGACCAAAGGTCTGTTTCAATACAGGAAGCCCTCTGGTGGCTATCTGGTAGACAGCCACTGGGGACAGACTTAGAGATCCAATGTAAACATTGCAGTTTCTCTGGAACTGATATGTTTTACATTGCAGCACAGTGCAAAAGGGACACTGCATCCAGACCACTTCAATGAGCTGAAGTGGTCTGGGTGCCTATAGTGTCCCTGTAATATAATCCTGCAGTGCCCCTCCCCCCCCCCCCCCCCCAATCCCATGTTGTTGAAGGGGTTTAAACCCCTTCAGTGACTTACCTGAATCCAGCGCCGATGTCCTGCGCTGCATCAGGTTCCGCCTACGCTCCTACCCCACCGACGTCAGCCGCACGCACGCATTAGACCAACGTAAATGGAAAGCATTATTCAATGCTTACCTATGGGGATTCTGGCGATGCTGGAGGTCCTTATGCATAGCATGAGGATATCCAGCGTCATTTAAAACTTTTCGTGTTCTAAACACTTGTTTTGTGTTCTAAGAAGCCAGAAGGACTTAACCCTGCAAGGCACTTATTGCAGTTTATAAAAACTGGAATAATTACACTTGCAGGGTTAAGGGTGATGGGAGTTGGCACCCAGACCACTCCAATGGGTAGAAGTGGTCTGGGTGCCTGGAGTGTCCCTTTTAGTATTCAGGCCATTAACTCGGTATCAACTTAGTTGATACAATTGTGTTAGTGATTACAGCCTGTAGTCTTTCTGTGTATGATATGGGAAGTTTTGCACACCTGGATTTGGTTAGTTTCTTTCATTCAGATGTTACATTTGATGAGGCCTGTTGGTGGAGAGCCATTTTCATGCCTCTACAGAGATTTTTGATTGGGTTAAAGTCCGGATTCTGGCAAGGCTATTTAAGTACATTCAAAGTTTTTCCTGAGCCATTATGTCTTGGCGCTGTGCTTAAGGTCATTGACCTATTGGAAGCCCAGTCTTAGGTCTTCATGGAGTATATCTTTCCCTCAAAGCAGACCAGTCTTAGTCCCTGCCACTGAAAAACAAAGGCAGAGTATGATGCTACTACCATCAAGCCTCACCTTTGGGATGGTATTACGCAGATGCAGAGCAATGCCTGGTTTCTGTCATGTGCCTTGCTGTGAGGAGAGGCTTCTGTCTGCCATAAGGGCCAGATGGGTGGAGTATTGCAGGGATGGCTGCACTTGTGCATGTTTCTCCAACTTCCACATGTGATCTCTGGAGCTCATCTAGTGTAACTACAGGGTTACCTCTTACAAAGGCCCTTCTTTTGTGACGGTTCTAGGAAGAGTCCTGTTTGTTCCAAACTTATTCCAGTTTTAAAATGGACCTGTCATGGGTATTTAGTTTTTTGTTTTTATTCTCTCTATCCTTATGCCCCTTGCATCTTAATTATACTATCCCTATTGACATGTGCCTTTATATTTATCTGTTCAGGATCTCAGTATAGAGATGCAGCCATCTGTTTATTTAAATAAATGTAAGTGTAACCAAAAATCTATCCCTGTATTACCTAGAAACTCTGTATCCTCGGCAGAAGAATTACCTGCCGACAGGAACTAAATGCTCAGAGGGATCTGTGGGCCCCTAATAGTTGACCACAAGCAAAACTGTGTGTTGGTTTTCACAACCCATAGTTAATCATTAAGAGCCTGGACCATATGGACATATGTCTCTTCTAAATCTGTTTTGCTATTCTTAAATACAGTACTCCCTGATAAAGTTGACTGAATATCCCAGTGCTGGGAGTGCCCATTGTACCTTGCACTTAAGTGCCAACCAGGCAGAATGTCAGATGGATACTTCATTCTCAACCAAACTGCGGCAAGCAGTGTGCTGGTGTTGACCCCACCCCGTCTACAATCTAGAAAACATTTTCACCTCTGCATTTTGGCTTCTTTAAATTTCCACAGGGTCTACACTTGCATGGCAATCTGTGCACTGTAAACAAATAGAAAGCAAGGTGCTTGGTATATATTGTTCTATCACCTTAAGAGATGGAATTCAGTATAATAGAGACTTGAGGTCTGTTATATTGAATACATCTCTTAAGGCAATAGTACACAATATATACCAACCACCTTGCTTTATATTTGATTAGTGGAGTGAACAAGCTTTTCTAGGTTTGGTATATATTTTATTTTATTTTTGGAGGGCATTACACAAAGTGTAAATATTGTGGATGGCTGTAACATAACTGACTATGTCCTCAATATAATCTTATAAAATATTGTGGCTGTTTCTGTGGGTTGTTTTGTTTTTTTGTTTGTTTTTTAAAGTATTTTTTACAAATACTAGAAAATAACCAAATCCTGAATCTCCTTTTCCTGAAATCTAAAATGGAGTTGAGTCCGTTTGGTTTGAGTAATTGTTTGTGAAGTGGGAAGTTTCTCTAGCCCAGTTATTTATTGCAGAGAATGGAAAATTAATTTCCCATTTACGCTGTTTTAGCCAAATTAGAAACTTCTAATAGTTTGTCTGTTTTGCCTGTTATTTGAAATTCACTTCGATAAGGTTTTTCACTAAAGTAAGAATTGCTGGAAATTCAAAGATGTGTGGGTAGTCTCTACATTATTCACAATCCCATATGCTGCTCAGTAGGCAGCAGTCTAAATCTCTCGTAAACCATTTACACAAGGATTTCGATCTAGTGCAATTCTAAAAGCTGTGCGATTTTCTTTTTTTTTTTTTTCTAATTAACCAACTGATTATTCATTTGACAGATCTAATTAAAATTTGCAGGCAGTCATAAGAAGAAAAGTGGGGGAGGAGATTTGTTACTCTTTAAATGGACACTTTAATGACATATACCCTCCATTCTAACATTAATTTAGCTAAACTATATTGGTTAAATATAAAAGTATAGCTATGAAGTTTACTTGTACACTCTGTGCCAACTAACTTAGTTTTCTCCAATAGGAAAGTTAACAATATGACAGCTGTGGGGTGAAAGGTGTGAAATCCCCCTAATTTTTACAGAACCCATCCCAAACTTAAGTGCCTATTATTGCATTTTATATTTCTCCCCAAGTTGGGAATATAGCAATACAGATGATATTTATAGGTAAGGGTTCATAATCGAAGAGGTTCCAGAAAATGTTTAAAAATAATGCATGTTGCAAAAGTTCCGTTATTATAGGGTATTGTAGAGCATGTCTTTGGAAAAAAATATATATATAGCTTCTCCTATATTTGATGGACTGGGGCTATTGTGTCAAATAGATTACTGTGCCATTTTCAAGGACAAAGTCCACCATAGGTTAAGTACTACATAAAGCTGCTAGAATGAATTGCATTGGAATTAACCCCATTAATTGGTGACTTGTGCTCTGATGTTAAAGAACATTGTTCCTTTAGAACTCAAACTCCCTTGGATAAGGATTTATCAATTCTCAAAATATTAAAGAAACTCATGTTTATCCCCTTGAGGTAAGTTGTTTTTTTTTTTCTCCTCCAAGTAGAGTGAAGTTTAGGGCTAGCCAACGGTTATTCCATAATAAATTATACTCAAGCGTAGCCAGTGGTTGTTCTATAATCTCCTAATTGTTGCAAATTATAATTTGATTGGCACACTTTTGATTAAAATAGCTGGTCTGGAAAACATTCACCAACTTTTCTTTTTAGGTGGACTTTTAGTTTCAGATTTTCTGTTTGGATATAAATCCAAGATTAATTAAAACCTTGACTGCTCCAAGCGAAATACTTTGACATGGTCATAATTTGTTTTATGAATGTTTTTGAAAATGTCTGACCCCATTGAGTACACTACATACACTCTTCATAATTTCAGCATCCCACTACAGTTTGCATTTAATGTAGCACCTACCAGCCTGAAATATTGTCACGTAAACAAATCACAAGCAAACATTTGATGTTTACAAAAATTGTCATGTTTACTAGAGCCATTTTTCACATAATTAACCCCTTTTTGACAAGGATCTGAGTATATCCCAATATACAATAACAGACCAGACATGTCCAGGTTATGAAATCAGTTACATTATTTGTGTGGTGACCAGTTTCCACAATGTGTTTTATTCCATGTATCTTTTATACAGAATCATTTTTTTATGTTAATGTATTAATGTAAATATTTCCATATTGTTGCTAATTCTGCTATTTTCCATCATAACTTACATATGTAAATATCATAACTGAATTCATGAAATTCTGTGTAAAAGACTGATTAATAAGTTTGCACATATCCTGTTATTACGTAGACTGTGTTCACAGGCAGAAGGGAATACATAAAATCATTAATTGGGGTAAAAATGAATTTATTTTAAATGTTGAACTTGGATTTCATGTTTTCTGTTGGTGAAAAGACAATCTACTGGCGGTCACAGAATTGGACTAATGGAACCTTTGTGATGCCAGCTATGTAATGCTGAAATATATTAGACTGCAGAAAACATAGCCGTGCCAAGTATTCAGAGACAAGATGCAGTACCTGTGAGTGAAACTCAGTAAAATAAGAAATGTCAAGAATTCAAATAAAATCATCTTGGAAATTGAGTGTGACTGCTTACTTTAATATTGGATGCTTACTGTGTGCCAGACTGGTGGGCAGTAATGTAACAAAATCTCTGCATAGTAGAGAGGTCCCAAAATTATTTCAAAATACTTTCATAAATGTGTGTTTGACCAACATTACCAGAACCATTACAGCTCAATGAAATGCTTCTGAAGCATATAACCGGTCCCTGCAAGGTCAGCAGTGTAAATGCTGCCTTTTATAAGACTGACAGCCGCTAGAAGTACTTCCTGGACGAGGTCCTGCAACCATAAAGATGTACTGAATCAGTACATTTCTATGAGATGGTGATTGGCACAGCTCGCTTTCCTTATTCATCCAAGGAGATGGGGCAATCATAATGGAGGATGTTTGAGCTGAGCAACACATTGAATACATTATTTATTTTTTATGACCCTCATCAAGGGACCAGACCCTAAACATTTTAAAGGACCACTATATTAACCCAGACCACTTCAGCTAAATAAAGTGGTCTGGATGCCAGGTCCCCCAGGTTTTAACTCTTCAGATGTAAACATAGTTTCAGAGAAACTGCTACGTTTACATTGCAGGGTTAATCCAGCCTATAGGGCAGCAGTGGCGTCTCTAGGATTCATTTTGGGGGGGGGGGGGCCACGTGGAGGGCCAGGGACAAAAGTGGGGGGGCACATTTGACCACGCCCCTGTCGCATGTTAAGCCCCACCCCCAACACAATGTGTTTTGTTTTTTTAATAATACCTGGTGGAGGATTCATTATTTTTCACCAGGGATTATTTCAAAAAACAAACATTACCCTTGATACAGTGCCATAGTTGCCAACATTTTAACCCCTTAAGGACGGAGCCAAATGTACACATTGTGAACAAAACAAAATGTAAACAAAACCTGGCATTTGCGCTACATGTCTGTCCAACCGTAATACACCTCTTTCATAGTAAATGCACCCACCCTTATTATATATCATTTTATTCAGGGGAAACAGGGCTTTCATTTAATATCAAATATTTAGCTATGAAACATAATTTAATATGAAAAAAATGGGAGAAAATACGTTTTTTTTATTTTTTTAGTTCTACATGACATTTTAACGGTCAATGTCATAATACTGTTTGCTTTTACTGCAATAAAATACACATATTTATATTCAGTAAAGTCTCACGTGTAAGACAGTACCCCCTATGTACAGGTTTTATGGCGTTTTGGGAAGTTACAGGGTCAAATATAGCACGTTACATTTGAAATTGAAATTTGCCAGATTGGTTACGTTGCCTTTGAGACTGTATAGTAGCCCAGGAATGAAATTTACACCCACAATGGCATACCATTTGCAATAGTAGACAACCCAAGGTATTGCAAATGGGGTATGTCCAGTCTTTTTTAGTAGCCATTTGGTCACAAACACTGGCCAAAGTTAGCGTTAGTATTTGTTTGTGTGTGAAAAATGCAAAAAACGCCAATTTTGGCCAGTGTTTGTGACTAAGTGGCTACTAAAAAAGACTGGACATACCCTGTTTGCAATACCTTGGGTTGTCTACTATTGCAAATGGTATGCCATCATAGGGGTAATTTTCATTCTTGGGCTACCATAGGGTCTCAAAGGCAACGTAACCAATCTGGCGAATTTTAATGTGAAAAAACTGAAATGCAAGCCTTATATTTGACGCTGTAACTTTTGAAAACACCATAAAACCTGTACATGAGGGGTACTGTTGTACTCGGGAGACTTCGCTGAACACAAATATTTGTGTTTCAAAACAGTAAAAAGTATCACAGCAATAATATTGTCCGTGTAATGCTGTTTGTGCGTGAAAAATGCAAAAAACGTCACTTTTACTGGCGATATCATCGTTGTAATACATTTTACTGTTTTGAAACACTAATATTTGTGTTCAGCGAAGTCTCCCGAGTAGAACAGTACCCCCCATGTACAGGTTTTATGGTGTCTCGGAAAGTTATAGGGTTAAATATAGTGCTGGCAAATTAAATTCCCTTTACTTTCGGCATGGGTTGTCAGGCAGGTCCTGCTAATTGTAATTTATTAAGATACCTAATTATGTAAAAATATTACATAAATATATATGTAGAATTAATATATGTATATATATACGTATGTGTATATATATGTATATATCTATATAATTTTTTAAAATATATTTTATTTATATATAGGTATATATATAGTGATATATACGTATATATTTATGTATATAGATATATATATTATTTCGTTCTACGTGTATTTTGATATATATATATATATATATTAATTTCACAAAACAGTTAGAATGAAATAACACACATCTATATATTTTTTAATTATTTATTTTTAATTATTTTTTTAATTTTATTTTTTAACGTATTTACATTTTTATTTTTTTATATTATATATAAATATATATATAACAATAATTATATATATATTTAATCAGTATCAGTCTACGTGTAATTTGATATTAATATATATATATAATTATATATATATTAATAGTAAAATACACCTAGACGGTGTATGTGTGTGTATGTATATGTGTATATATATACTTAGATCATATATATATAATATATATATATATGATCTAAGTATATATAATTATTTTTTTTTACACCATTAACTTTTTTTATTTTATTTTCAGCCAGCAGGGGGACCACCTGTCATTACAGGCAGCCCCCCTGCCGGCAATACAGAAGCCAGCTATCCCAGGTCATGTGATTGTGGGGTCCTCGCTAGGACCCCACTCTCACATGGCCGGGGGGCTTCGACGAGGACGGATGTGCCGCGGGGGGCTCCCTGGGAGTCCCCCCAACCGCGATCGCCGGCGTGGGACCGCCGGCGACCGGGTAAGTTAACAAAAACCGGAGGGCGTACAATTACGCCCGGCGGCGTTTAGAGCCGCCTATTAGAGGGCGTAATTGTACATCCTCCGGTTTTAAGGGGTTAAAAAAAAATTCCAAGGACATTTTGCAGCACAGCTATCAATTACTGTCTGGGTATAATATCCCTGGACAGTCAGTGCTCTCTGTATAATACAGGGTTGTGTGTATAATAAATTGGGACACTCAGTGCTCCTTGTATAGTGCTGCTCTCTGTATAATACAGGTCTGTTTGTGTATAATATCCCAAGACAGAGAGCAGCACTATACAGGGAGCACTGACTGTCCCGGGATATTATACAGGCACAAGCCTGTGTTATACAGAGAGCAGCACTATACAGGAAGCACTGACTATCCCGGGATATTATATACACACAGATCTGTATTATACAGATAGCTGAGCATATACCCCATGTCCCAATCTCTAGACTACTAGTACCTGTCAACAGCAGCTCCCAGACGTGTGTAACAGGGCTAAAGTGTGCAGCAGCTCACACAGATGATGATTCAGCGGTAAAGTGCACTCGCTTGCAGAGCCAAACTGGGAATCCCTGGAAAACCAAAGCAGCCCTGGAAAAAAAATAAAAATATGTATGCCATTCCTACAAATATATATATATATATATATATATAGTACGGTACGCACACAAGCTCACTGACATGCGCAAATAGGCTTACTGACAGACAAAACTCTGACTCACACACAAGCTTACTACAGACAAACTCACTTGTATAAACACTACAAATAAGTTCAGGGACACACACAAGCTCACTAAAGACAAGCTCACTGACACATGCTCACTAAATAGAAGCTCACTGACACACACAAGCAGTACCATTTTAACAGAGCTAAGGGCCCCTGGGCAAAGCAATGCACTGGGGCCCTTCCTACACAACAACTCACATGAATTTTAATTATTGATAGACTGCTGAGTCCATACACACACACACAGAACTGCTGAGTCCATACACACACACACACAGACTGCTGAGTCCATGCAGTGTATGGGGAGCAGTGTGTATGGCGATAGTGTATGTGTGTAGAGTGTGTGTGTGTATGGGGGGCAGTGTGTATGGGAGGCAATGTGTGTGTATGGGGAGCAGTGTGTGTGTATGGGGGCAGTGTGTGTGTATGGGGGGCAGTATGGGGGTCAATGTGTGTGTAGAGTGTGTGAACACCCCCCAAGCCTACCTGTCACTGGAGGTTGTTGCTGGGGGTCAGGCACCCATTTCCTGCAGCAGCATGGTCTGCTGCTTTACGACGGGGGTGGGGCTTCCTTTGGGGGCGGGGCATGTGCCGGGGAGCCAATCAGTGCTCCTTCCAGCCACAGACAGCCCCCAGCACCTCAGTCCTGCATTCCCTCGGGCTGTAACAGACACACACACTGTTACAGTCCAAGGGAATATAATTGAAGCCCATGGCCAGCAAGTTGCCGGCCTTTGGGGGGGGGCTAGAGGGGCCCCCATACACACACACACTGTGCCCCCATACACACACACACTGCCCCCCCATACACACACACTGCCCCCCATACCGACCCCCATAAACACACTGCCCCCCATACACACACACACTGCCCCCCATACCCCCCCATAAACACACTGCCCCCACACACACTGAACCCCCATACACACACACACTGCCCCCCCATACACCCCATACACACACACACACTGCCCCCCATACTGCCCAGATACACACACATACACTGCCCCCATACACACATGCCCCTATACACACACACTGCCCCCATACACACACACACACACACCGCCCCCATGCCCACACACACACACAGATACACACACACTGCCCCCATACATACACACACACTGCCCCCATACTGCCCCCATAAGCACACACTGCTCCCCCATACGCACACACTGCTCCCCCATACACTATCCCCATACACACTGCTCCCCATACACACACATTGCCCACATTCACACACACACTGCAACTGTTACACACACATACTGTCCCACACATATACTGCATCCCTGACATACACTGCCGCCCTCACTCACACACTACAACCTTCAAACACACACTGCTCACACACTGTCCCACACACACACTGCACCCCTTACACACACCACTGCTCCTATGCCCTACTACAGCCCCATTTCCCAGCAGACCTGAGGTAAGTTGTCAAACTGTTCTTAAACGGTTTGACTACTTACTGTGGGAGGGGGTCCCGGCACTATTGACACCATAACCACTACACTGAGCTGTAGTGGTTATTGTCTCTGGATTATTTCTTTAAATAATCTACAAGTGCCCCTCCCGAGATCAGGCTCTGGATCCGCCACTGCTCAGCAGTCTGTGTGTGTGTGTATGGACTCAGCAGTCTGTGTGTGTGTGTTTATGTGTGTATTTACTCAGCAGTCTGTGAGTGGGTATGGACTCAGCAGTCTGTGTGTTTGTGTATATGTGTGTATGGACATAGCAGTCTGTGTGTGTGTGTATGTGTTTGTATGGACTCAGCAGTGTGTGTGTGTGTGGACTCAGCAGTCTGTGTG